GCTATAGGCGCATTATGGTTGAAGATGAGTACTAACAAAAACAAGTGTAAACAACGGTAAGTTATTGTGATAACTCAGCATTTTATCCATCCATTTTTGGTTAGTTATGCTAGCGTGGGAATTTTTTCTAGTCCCATGGGAATTCCCATATTTCCCATGGGCTGCACCCAAGGGGGGTGCCCGGCCCATGGGAACTATGGGCATGTACGGTGGGCCGAAGATTCTCATGGGAAATGTCAAGGTCTAATCCTAAGTATAGCCCATATGTATATATCCATTTTCAGTGGTTTCAAAGTGGCTAAAGTTCGAGCTTAGACACCCAATTTCTCGTATAGATATATCGCATGGCTAATATAAATATACTATGAAGAAACACCCACACAAACTGCATATCCCGCCCACAAACTTTCGCAATCCGACCCAATAGCCGGGTTCCACTCATACAGCTCCGCAAACGTAATGCTATACAAGCTCTCGATGTTCGCGCACGAGTCACCGGCGACAATAGTGTGGTACTTGTCACAGTTGGACACGATACCAGTCTGTGTGGGGACGGCACTTGTTGTCGTGGTCGTGGTCGTGGCTGTCGCTGGACCCTTGACGCAGTACGCTTCTTCAAGCCAGAGGTTCGTACAGGTACTGCCGACTATTTGATGTGGTAAGCATTTTTCCTTTTCCCCCTTCTTTTTCTTTCACGGAGGGGGCAATTTGGCGAGAGAGATAGGCTTACTGCTCGGGTTCCATGCGTATAACTCTGCAAGGGTGATTGCGAATTTTGTCTCGATGGTCGAACAATCATCTCCCGAGACAACGGTGTAGAATTCCTGACAGCCGGCAATAGTGTCGGTTGGGGTTGGAGCTGCTACGGTAGTTGAGGTAGTGGTCGTTGCAGAGGTGTCGATCCCGATACAAACCGCGCGGATGTCACTCTTATTGAGGTTTGCGTAAAGTTCTGTGTCGCAGTCGCCGGCGAGCCAGGGGTTCCACGCCAGCAATTGAGCTTCTGTGATGTCGACGTCTTCTTCAAGATCCGCACAAGAATAATCTAGCGCGTACGTCAGCTGGCCGAACACCTTTGATCCTGAGTTCAACTTATTTCTTTTTTCGGGGGATGCTTACCATCGCTCATGTAGCCATAGACTTGGTTGAAGCAGTTACAGTTTGACACGGTGGTGGACTCCGTGGCGTTGATGCCCAGGCAGAAGCTGGTGGAGTCGTCGTCCGTGGTTGCTGTTTTGTTTTGTAAGCTTCAGCTGAGCAAGATATCCACTGATGGTTGACACTTACTGGAGCCATCACTCTGCAAGACACAGTAGCTGTAGCCAGGCTGCAAGGCACAGGTGCTTAGAGTGGTTGAAAGACTCGGATTCCACTCCATCAGCTGGTCAGTGGTGACATGGAATGCAAACGAAATATAAATGCAGGAATTGGAAAACGTGTTGGAGTAGTCGCGATATGCCACGCAGTCTGTGAGCGTGTCGGGCGCAGTCGGGAGGTATGTTGGGACGTAGATATACCCTGGGTCGTTGGTGGTGGTGGGAATTGATGTGTCAACGGAAGCGAAGGTGGCTGAAGTTACTGTGAAGAGAGGCGTTGTAACGGGATAGTTGACGTATGTAGTGATGGAACCCACGGCCGCCACACAATAAGCCTCGCCAAGGATCAGGTTCGTGCAGTCGTCGTCGATCTCCGGGTTCAGGAAATAGAAGTCCGTGAGAGAGATTTCGTTAGCCACAGACACAGACTACATGTGTCTCCCTCCACAACCTGCGCGCGGGTTAGTCGACGTCGTCCGCGGTTGCCTGGAATGCGTCAGCCACTTACAGTATACCATGCACCGCAGTCCGTGTTAGTGCCATTAACAGCGTTCGTTGGCACAGCCGCGGCAGTGGTGATATTAGTTGGTGAAGTCGAGTTGCTTGTCATGTCCGTGGTGTGGTTGAGGTATCCTCCTGGTGGGCTATATACATGTTAGTACTTGGTCATAAAGAAAGATCTTCTTTCCTAGGAGGGGCATACCTAATGCACACCGCATATCCAACGTAATTCACAGCGTTCTGGCAAAGGGAATTGAAGTTCGGATTCCAGGACAAGAACTGGGGAACAGTCACACTCGAGAGCTCACTAACAACGCTGTTACAATCGTCCGTCAATTGCCAGACATAAGTGCTGCATTGCGGCGGGATACACAAGCTCGAGTTGACGGCAGCGGCGAAATTCTGGCAGTAGAGATCAAGCCCGTTGCTGCACAGAAGACTGTACGTGGACACGTTCAGGGCCTCCGCGACCGAGTTGCAGTCATCCGTCGCTTGAACCGTGTAGGCTCCAGTGCAATCGGGTGCTGCGGTTGTCGTGACAGCCGTCGGAGTAGCCGTTGCGGTTGCATTGATCGCATACTGTGTGGGTGCCGTATAGCTATACGCAGTGGCATTGCAGCTGGAAATCAACGACGCATAATTGGTTGCCAAGCTGTCATCATAGCCCAGGGGGTTGCCTAGCTGCAGAGCAAGACCACCCAGCCAGCAATCCGAGCACTTCTGGTCCGTGGTTAGGGTTTGGTTGGACCATGACGCGATCTGTGGATCGCAGTACTCGCCCGTCGAGCTATCAACTTATTCAGCTCTGCACAAAAGAGCGAGTGGATTGAAAGCTGTACTAACCTGTCCGTCCTGCAGGAGACTTGGTAGGTGAACAGATAGTTGTCCACGATGAAGGTAGCTACAACCATGTCAGCTTTGCCCCTTAAATCTAGCCACCTCGGCAGTAAGGTCTGGATAATTCATACCTGGATATGCGACATTCTCAGTCACAATAACATCGGTATCGAGTGTGCACGCAGCTGCAATGACCGTTCTGGCGCTTTCCAAAGATGCATAGCAACCGTCGACGCAGACTACAGCCACCTCATCTGATGTCATGACTTCATTGCTATCCGGAGGGTGGTCAGTGACTCGTCAAGAACACAGATATACAGGCGTTCACTTACCTCTCGGAGGTTAGGCCTAAAGTCGGCGAGCAAGTGACATTGGTTGCCAAGGCCTCTTGACACGCCGTGCTCAGCCCTGCATACGCCGTAAACATCGTGGTATTGGTAAACTGCTGTGCCCACGACAGAGGCACGAGGCCTGCCAGGGTAATCACGACCATCCGGAGTCCTGCCATCACGCTTACTCGGTCTGAAGGATAACTAACCCTCAGAGAAGAAACCAAACGTGAGATGGTAGGATATTGAGTTCACGGTGAATGATACCGGGCGATACTAGTATTTAGGCAGCTCAGTTGTAGAGGCCAGAAAAGAAGAAAGGGAAATTTCAAGGGAAGGAGCCACATCGCGCCTGAATGGGTCCAGTGAAATTAGATGCTGTTCGACTGAAAATTACGCGATATTACCAGTGGCATGAGTCGCATGTGGCATTCGTGGATTCATTCGGTGGTGTATCTCGCCTCACGAATTTCGACGCTAACGGAGAAAGCGTGAAAAATTCAACACAAAACAAGACTAAAGGAAAGATAAGGGGGCTAAGCTACAGGCTAAGCTTGCGCTAGATGCCGGCGAGGCTTTTTTAATCTCGCGGATATGCCGGATACGCCCGTTGCTCCACTAAGGACACAAAAAGCCCTCAATCTAGATCAAGCCATCGTGCTATTGACTCAACTCACGCTGCCCGGAATACCGTACAAATACTAGAGGGAATTGGGTGAACGGTGAGGTGAATAAGCCTGTCCCGAAGGGTCGGTCCTAGTGGTATTTGACCACTCCCTCAGTTCGTCACAAAAGAAAAATCGTCAAACTAACCTTGCAAATTAAAGAACCTAGCTTCCAGATTAATGATTACATATATGTACCTAAGTACCCATCTTTTTTGAACTTTACTTTCCTTCTCACACATCGCAATGAGTTTTGCTAGGAGTCTGCCCAGGTTATTCCGAAACTTCACCTCACCTTTTGTCGCGTCGCGCACGTTCCCCACGCAAAGAAACTGGTGTCGGAACATTGCTCAACCTTTTTCCACAACAAATACTACTCCCAACCTCCTAAGCCAAATGGAAAAACACGCTTGCCCTGCTCAATTCCCCCCCGTGCAGAACCTATCTCCACGCATCCCGGATAGGAGCGCCCAATTCAACAATGCCGACCGAATCGAGCAATATCTCCACGAAGACGGCCATCGCGCCTGGGGGTTCGTCATCTACCGGTGTACCTACGAGAGCAACACAGCCTGGGAGGAATTTATGCGTCGTCTACTCGCCAACACTGAGGAGACGCTAGAAGGGGAGGGGGGCCTTGATTTACTTGATAATCTGGCCGTGACCGTGTTTGAGGCTTCGAGTTTCGACGGGGCCGCTACGGCGGTGGTTAGGGACCATTTCAAGCGGTGGGCGGCGACTGCAGCGCAGCAGGAACAAGGCACCGGCCCGGGAATGTCGGAACGATACTTATACTGTATTCAGGTTACGCAGGATGTGTTAGACTCGGTTCTCGCTGATAAGGAAGGGTTTGTGCGCCTGATTCGGGGGGATTGGAAGGAGTATGATCCGTACGAGGAGGGTGAGAGGTTGGAGGAGGAACAGGAGGCGATTGAGGGGTGCACCTTGGAAGATGTAGGATGGATGCAGGTTCCTTTTGATGGTGTGATGGTTATTCCTTGGTATTACTTGCGTGGTTATGCTTGGGAGATAGAGTATCGTCGTCCGCCCACAATTGCTTGTTTCTAGTTTTCTTTAGTCTATAGGGACGTGCCTAACTCCATGTACTTGGTCTCTTTATTCGCTGATCCCGAAGGTCATTTTCGTGAATTTCATATCAAATTCTACTAACGATTTGATTTGTGCATTGTGACCTAATCTAAATTCATTCTAAGTCAAGAGCTCTAGGGGTAATTCTCTTATTTATTTCTCTACTTATTCCGAGTCCCGTGAGATTATCGCTTTTATTACTTTGGTCTCAACAACATTCGTTTTATCGTAAAGACAAGGACTAAAGGAGGTTTACGATTCATGAGATCCAGGAAGAAAGCTGCTAGCTATATTCGTATCCATGGCTATATAGGTGATGAACTTGATATCATCGCTATCTCCTCCGGTATGTAATTCGATCTTAAAATCAACATCCCTCAATGCTTTACTTCTTCAATGTCAAAACACCGGAACCCAAGCCAGGGACCTGTTTCGATCAAGAAAGCAAATTGCCAGGAACAATGTTCGTAAATCAAGTCTGATTCTAATTTACTCTTGTGCCATTCAATGGTTTTACCAACCAAGTTATAGCAAAATTTCACATTCATACATATAGTAAAAGCGATCAAGATGACCCTACGCAGCCCTTTCATTGCAGCCTTCTTGTGCCTTCTCTAGGTCTTGATCTGTAATTAAAAATGGGGTCGGATAATAGGAGCCCTAGAAAATTTAGCTTTTGGTAATGTGACTCGTGTCTGCTGCGTACTAGTTGAGACCCAAGAAAATCCCCAAGATCCCGATACTTCCGCCGACAGCATACACACTTGGCCCGTTCGCCGAAGACGAATCCCGACGCAGACGTCTGCTTCACACAACTTACTATATTCGCGTGCCTTTTTCATCAAATTGGATTTGCGACGACCTTGTTTTTATCGCATTGATTTTCTTTTCGAAGGAGAGCCATTCGAACGAGGGGGGCCTATAGTCGCCATTTGCCAGTTTGTAGCCTGAAATATGCCTCGGGACTCTAGAATTAGACTTGCTGAAAAGTAGAGCTAAGGAATAAGGAAGTGCGTGCTTTATAGTCGTACGCTCGTTAGCTAGGGAGTAGTTTTTAAAGAACGTTAAAACGTTATAAAAGGCTTATCTAAAGCTAAATACTTTAAAGGAAACTAAACTAAGCTTTAAAGATTCTTTATCTAAATAGATACATATCTTAATATAAATTGTCTAGACTATCTATTTAGATAAATAAAGTAATCTTTATATCTACCTATTTATAAAGATAGATATAAGATTAGCTTAAACTATATATCTAAGTGTAAAGGTATACTATTTCCAGGTGTATGGCCTGTCAACCGGGTAAGATACTATGGCTTGGAGGAGAACACAATATATTGTCTGGAGTGCCAAGACTAATTCTTGCCAGTCTCTTTTTGGGACCCTAGGGGATCCCAGACTATAAGGGATCTATCTCTTCCAATGTCGACATGCATATCATGTGATAAACCCCTCTCGGATCGGCCACCACGTGGGGTCGATCTGCCAAGACTGCCTGACATGGTATTCTCTTTATAAGGATCTTTATCCGTTACAATTATCCCCTCCTTCTAAGCGGATGCCCTTATCCGTGTATAAAGATAGAATCGATAAAGAATCGGGGAGAATCGGTAACGATTCGTGATAAAGAAGACAGGATTTAGATAGGGGTTTTAAGTATAAAAGACTAGATACTACGTGTTCTTTTTAAAAAGTGTGGTTATACGCCCTCTTTATTCCTATAATCTATATAGATCCTAGATTTCCCCTTCGTAGTGGTGTATTAATATCGTCGTAAATTTTGAAATATACCTCTAACTATTCGTGCCTAACGTATCTAGTTAAAAAACACATAGTGTATTAAGTGCTTACGAACCTCGGCGAAAGGGTTCGATACTAAAAACACAACCGAAGCGTTCTCGATTAAGTGTTTCCTCTACGAGACCAGTGCCGGGCATATAAGGGAAAGGGCCATGACGTTAAGCGATGCGAATCACGACATGACTATTCCTTGCCTATGGGTCCAAAACCACTAACATACCAATAAAGAGAATATCCCAACCCCTAGTTTTCCACCTCGAAGATAGGAGGGAAACAGCACGGTTCGCCCATCTCGCGCCACGTATAAGCTTCTGGAGTTGTAATAATTGAGCATCAGACCGGAGAACTTGTCGCATTATATTGTATACGTTTTCTTTTTCTGTGTTCTTGTCGTTTCTCAAAGCGACGGCATATAGTGAAACAAAGACCAGCTCTTGAACGCACGCTACTTGTCGATTTTTGATGCCGTTTGTGATTATCGACCTGGCGTATTCAAATAAGACGGGAGTCTCTATAGAGTTCGAGAAGTCGTTCGACAATATTTTGGGTGCTTCCAATGATAAGGAGCACGGTGTAACCCGGGAATAGCCTTGCACAAGTCCGCAAAGAAGAACAGGACGTTCGCCATCAGTGGACACCAGTCGAGCCAGGATCTCGACCCCGGAAGTTCATCCAGGAACAAGGCGAAATTCGAAAGATCCTTACTTTGTCTCTGTTTTTCGCGAGAAGGAGAGGCGGCGGGTTTATTATGTTGTGTCGGATTATATTCGATGACTTTGAATGTCTGACAGTCACCGTTGGTGTCTTCGGCGTCATATCGCTGCTCGTCTCGAGTTTCCAACGAGGGGCGTATTCCATCAGCCCAGCCTTGTCTTCCCGAAGCGTTGTCAATCGGCCTCGCGTTATTGGTAAACCTGCCAGGCTTTCGCCGAATACCAGCTTCGTTCGGGTATCCTTGGCTTCTCAAGGAAATAGCAACCCTAGTGCGGGTTTCTAGTTGAAGTGCTTGCTGAAGCTCCAAGACTCGCGCTTCAAGAAACCGAATATAAGCAGCATCATCACCTCAAATCCTATCTGGCGGCAATTCATGTCTGCGTGAACGAGAGGATAACGGAAAAAAAGCCCCATTTCATCCGAATTTGCCAACACGGAAGTTTCAGGGGGGCACGCGTCACTGCCAATCAGGTAGTTGACCAGCAGGCCCGTAAGGGCCCGTGCAGTCCTCAGCTGCACTCTCATCACATATCGGCGTCATGATATACCATCCATCGCCCCAGCCCATTTTTCTATTTACAAGCAATTCTCACAGCTTGCCAAGGATGAAATGTGAAAGACCGATTTTATGTTTTTGGCACTTATCTTCCCAGATCGTATCAAGGTA